CTTCCCATGGGCAGGCAGGTGTTCAGCCATCCCCAGGAAAGCAGGGCTCCATCACGCCTAACGGTGACTTGGGAAGACAAACGCCATCGCTCCCAACGTCCCCCCCTTCCCCCTTCTTCCCCCAGCTTTCTATGCCGAGCATGACGCCATATGGTGTGGAATGTCCCTTGGGTCAGTTGGGGTCAGCTGTCCCGGCTGTGTCCCCTCCCAGCTCCTTGTGCCCCCCAGCCTGCTCGCTGGTGGGGTGGGGTGAGAGGCAGAAAAGGCCTTGACTCTGTGTCAGCACTGCTCAGCAGTAACGAATTTTCAGGTCTCAGCCAGTGACCAACTTATATGAAGAAAATAAACACAAACAAATTACATGTTATTAGCATCTCATCTTTTAAGACATATTTCTGCCTTAGGTGATTTAATTGGCATTTCTTAGCCTGTCTTTGGAGTGCTAGTTAGACAAGCTGGTGGCTACATTGCACCATCAAAAATTTAAACCATTGTGGAGAAATTACCTAAAATCTCACATGTACTTGCTTTCTACAAGGTCAGGTATATAACATCTGCAGACTAGTTCTGGCCTAAACCTGTGTGCACCAATCTCTTCTACATGGCAGAAGACAATCCTGGATGAAAAGCCCCAGTGGCATTTATGGGCCTATTGCTATAGTCAATATTAGGAGAGACAAGTAGTCTTCTGGTTTTAGATGAAGACCAGGTTTAGTAATAAGTTCTTTATGAAGTCAGTGGGAATGTGTTGGAGTAAAGTTAGTTCTGCAACTCCCATAGGGGTTCTCTGTCACTGAGTGGGGACACATGAACAACCGCAGACAATGATGGTGTGTGCAGAAAGTAGCTCCACATGGTCTGGTGGTGGCACTCTGGCTCAGAACTGGCTAACAAGCTTCTTCCTCTTGGAGAATAGAAATAGTCCTTATTTCTTTCCTTTCCCCTCCCAGTACCAGCTACAGGTTTCAGCAGGTCAAGAACATCCAGCTGTATTACGGCTCCAAGTAGAAGATAAAGACTCTCCCAACACTCCAGCTTGGAGAGCAAAATACAGAATAACAAAAGGCAATGAGAAGGAACAGTTCACCATTGAGACGGATCCGGACACAAATGAAGGCATTTTGAGTGTTATCGAGGTAAGGAGCAGTAATAGATGAGCTACAGCATAGCAATGTGTAGCGTGGCCAGTCTGATTACAAGACCGATAGCTTAGCATCTTAGCTGAGTTTGGTGAGCTCAGCTCACCTCTGAGTTCCAGGTATACAGAGGTGACTGCCAAACCAAAGGTCATAACTGCTAATCAGACTTTTGTCTGGGGTTTTCAGCCTCTCAACTATGAAGATGATTCTGAGATGAGACTTGTTATTTCTGTAGCAAATGAAGAACCTTTCTTCTTGTGTAAAAACGGCGTTGTGATGATCTCAAGCCTAGAATCCATGAATACAACTGTGAACATCAAGGTCTTACAGTCACAACGCGCTCCTAGGTTTCATCCTTCTATACTTATTGTCCAAAAAGAAGATTCAATGAAGCCTGGGAGAGTGTTTAGAAGGTATCCTGCCACATATCCAGAAGATGTGCCAAATAAGATAAAGTGAGTGGAGATGTTTCTAACCTTCAGAATAAGAAATAGCTTAGGAATATAAAGAGGTTTTCAAGCTTAATTTGGTATATGTACATATATGAATATACATACACATATATTTACGGTTATATGAACATATACATTAGAGGTGCAGGTTTACTATTGATGATACTGCAGATCCAGATAGCTGGTTCTGTAAGATACATTTAAAGGTGCAGTCAGTCCTTGGTTGCTCAGTATTTCTGTTGTCTTCAACATATTTTTGCCTAAAACCAGGTTGCATTATTTATATTTTACTTTTGATGACAAAATTTTGATGCCATAGAAAGGACTAAGGTATGCTTGGCTGTAAGAATGGTGATCTGATGTGGAAATTAGATACTTTCTTAGCCCCTAGGAACAGTTTTGATGGGCCTGTACAAGGTATGGGGACTTGTATAGGGAACTCTTTGTTAGCTGTGTTGAAACACAGAGCTTGTCATAGTTAACAAAAGGTAAGCATCACTAACAAGTAAAAATACCTACAGAGCTCAAAATGACAAAGAAAGATGCAGTAGAATTTTTCTATTCTTCAAAATCCATTTAAGATTGTAACTTGTAACTTTTTCCTTTCTTTTTAAGATATGAACTAGCACATGACCCAGATGGTTGGCTGAGTGTGGATGAGAGTTCTGGAGTTCTTACTGTGGCAAAAGAATTTGGTCAAGAATCCCCTTATGTGAACAACAGCCTGTATACCATTATCGTTCATGCTATTGATCATGGTAAGTAGCCGCTCAGAAAATATTCAAGCAGTATTTGGACTGTTTGAGATGAGGTGCGTGTTAGATATAAAATGATAGCAAGACTAAGGATCTAAGTGGAGAATGGTAATGCAGAACACCCTAATGTTTAAAACTTGTGTTATGTGTGACTAGTGGGATAAACCAGACAGAGATCCTGCCGATGGACTGGCTTTTGTTGATACCCAGTTGTAAGTGTTTTTCTGTTTCTTTTGCTCCTGTCTAGGTATTCCACCGCAGACTGGTACTGGCACCATCCTGCTTTACTTGTCTGACATTAATGATCGTATGCCAACATTAGTGGCTCCTTCTTTAGATGTGTGTGTCAAAAAAGAAGGGATACCTCTCATTATAAAAGCTAAGTCTGCTCTGGTCCATTCACGTTCTGGGCCATTTACATTTGAGCTGGCTGAGGACTCTGAAGATGTGAAGCATAACTGGAAATTAGGAAGGAACTTTGGTGAGTTCTTCCTTTCATGTCCTTCATGAGAAGTTCATTGTCAGTTATGTGCCCTCTAGTTATTTCACTGTCTCTTACCTTTAAGGTTTGTTACTGATTAGTCTCAATGAGACTGAAAGGACATGGAAGAACAGCTTTCAAAATATAAAGTTTGCAATTTGAAAAAAAGTTACATTGTTCTTCATCTCTGCTGAGGAGGACAGGACCAGAAGCAATGTGCTCAAATTGCAGAAAGGGGGATAAGACAGTTGCATTTGATTAATTACCTGATGAATTTTAGAGGTTATCAGTGCAGCTATGCCAGAATGCAGCAAGATTGGGACAGCTCTCTTTGCCCAGAAGGCTCAGCAAGGTGATAAAGTGGATGTCATTTTGTCCTATTTACTATGGTGCATTAAGGCTGGAAAAAGTATTTGAAATCGGGATGCAAATGAGTTTCCTTTTGATTATCAACAAAAGGGACTGTAGAATATCAGACTTCTTTCTATGGATCTTGAAATAATTTGCTTCTCTTCTTTTTAGGGGAGTCAGTTGAGCTTTTAATGTTAAGAAGCCTCCCAGAAGGTAGCTACTTGGTGCCCGTCATTATTCAGGACAGGCAAGGATTTTCTACAAGGCAGAATCAGCATGTTAGGCTCTGCTTTTGCCCAGATGGACATGCATGTAAAGATTCACCACTTCCACAAGCAGCAGTGAGAATTGGAGGTGGTGCCATTGCAATAATACTGATGGCTTTCTTATTACTACTGGGTAAGTAACCTCCTAACTTATGCATGCAAGTTATCTGTCATCTGCCCATTGGATCTCATTGCAATTGCAGCTCATGAACATGTGCTAAAATCTACCAGCCTTAACAGGAAAGGCCATTTGCCTTAATGTGTTAGAGTGTAGTCAAGGTGCAAGCAGTTGATACTTGCACTCTTCATGGCGCTTCCATCCATGCGTCCTGGTCCACGACCCGTTCTCTCTTCAAATTTTAGGAAGATCTTAGTTTTCCAACACAAGACATTGCCATTTCCATCTCGTAACTGACGAGATCTTTTTTGATAGCCAAGAAAACTTTCAAATTACTAGGCACTATGATACAATGTGTAATGCAGAGGAAGGTGTTCTCCAAGGCTGACAACACAGGGTAAAAGACACTAGAAAGATTAGTGAAAATTATCTGCAGTCATGGTTGGGATGTGAAAAGGTGAGGACTGTGTGTTATAGAGAAGTGAAAAAGGGAAGATAACACAGATGCATGGAATACTATTGTATGAACAACAATAAATACAAGTATGTAACCTAGGAAAAAAGAAAATATAAAAACTGAAAAAACAGAAATGTCATGTTAACAGGTGGAATTTTTCAGCTTGTTACTTGTGAAAATCACGATTATATTGTGGCTAGAGTACGACTGGCAAATGTAAATGTGTCATTAAGCTGAACTCTAGTACAACAAAGTAAATATTCTCGTTTGCATTGAATAAAATTAAATACTTGACTTTTTTGACATTAACCATGTACTGGCTAACTGGAAGTAATGAATTTCTCCCACTGGGTTACACTACTCAGTAATTGCTTGTTATAGAGCTGCTTCCTCTGTAACAGCTCATGTTGTTTACTGCTGAAGAGGTGAATTTATTTTCAGATTCTTTATCTGAAGCAAAAATTAATGGATTATCTGACCACTATTCCTCTGGTTACTTGTGAGTGATCTAGTATGTCTGCCGGCTCAATGCAGTGCTCTGTGGAGGTAACAGCTTGGCTCTCTAAAGCAGGCTAACCACTCCAGGCCAAGCATCGCATCTGCACAGCTACATTGCTGGAGGTTTCCGAGTTAGCTCATTTGGAACTGGGCTGGGTACCTCACCAACCCACTGTATTGAGTCATACAGATCTATTCACAATGCCCATTTCACCATTCCCTTTCTTGTTTCAACAGTTTTCAGTATTCTACTTTACCAGTTTTACGTGCGGGGATCTAAAAGCAAAGCTATTGTTCTACCTCAAGAAGGTGAACAGACTTTAATCAACTATAATGAAGAGAGCAGAATGTCTTTCTCTCAAGTAAGTGCAAAAGCATATATTCACATTACCCCACCAGTGTTGTGTGGCTGAATCTGGTAGTAGTCATCTTTTATTATGTTTCCTCTAGTTTTGGTATTGAGCAAAATAAAGGGGTTTTTTTGCCACTATCTGGGGAGTGGTGTTCTGTGTGGACTGGATAATGCTACTCTGGTGACAGACTGTTATCACTCCTACCATTTTTCAGTATCAGCAGGACCTTCCCAGGTGCCTCATCCTACTGATGAATCCAACAGATGAAGAGGCACGTCATCTCTTGTCACACTGCACATACTAGTGTTTTCAACAAGGAAGTCAATGAAAGTGAAAAAGGGAATAGTCTGCAAAAATGTGATCCTTCACAGCCTAGTTCAGTTTCTTATTAATACCATCCCTCTCCCTGTATGCAGGCTAAGCTGGATATTACAGATCATGCTGCTCTACCACCTGTGTCTGTGGAGGCTGGAAAAGAAGTGAATGCGGACGTAACTGCCCGTTTCCTTATGTAAATGCCCTTCTTTACACCACAGACATTGGTAATCCCAAGAAAGAGGCTTGGTATTAATAATAGTGGGAAGAATAATGCAATATAGTTCAATTAGAAAATAAGTGTCACTTGTTGGAGATTCCACTGGTATTTAAAATACTGTTGACAACTTTTTTTTTCCTAACAGCTTTCAGTTTGAGACAGGCACTTCTTTTCATTAGTTATTGTTCTAAATATTTGGAAGTGTAATTTCTTCCAAAATTCTTATCACAGTACCTGAATTGATATGCACAAGATTTTATTCAGTCCTTGGCATAAGTGAAATGGAACCATCATTCTTCAGATATCTATCAAAAACATGATGGTCAACACCTTCTACTTAATATACTGTAAAAGTGCGGACAGGATTTATGAGTATTTTTATGACTATAAGATGTAATTCTGGGGGTTTGAAGGCTTTTGAGTTTGTTCTGTGGGTTTTTGTACTGTATCCTCTAACAGATGTCTATTTTTATTGTAAAGAATGCCTGAAGGAAACTCTGGTCTACATCAGTAGGTGATTGCCATGTGTTCTGTTCACAAGTATGTAGTGATCACCAAGAGACTCTAAGAACAATCTCTGTCTTACAGCACACAAAGAAAATGTAAAATAGTCTCTTTTATGTATGTGAGAACCCAATTCCGCAATCCTTAAGACCATAGTTAGGAGCTAGGATTACCTGTCTGAGTAGACATTATGAAGTTCTGAGGTCATGTTTGGTGCCACTAATGAAAAGGAATCCAATAAATTTAGAGGAAGAAACATATTTAATTACTGGAGATTATGAAGAATGCCTACAGTTGGTGACCCCATGTACACATGGAGTATGTACTTACAAGAAGAAACAGTCCCTGAGCAGAAAAAGGTGCAATGTAACTGGAGAAGACAGCACAAGAGAAATGGATGTAACAGAGAGAAAGATAATTGGATTTATTTGTATCTGAAAGATATATTAGTAGGTGACTTTATGCCAGTCAAACCTGAGATATTATGTCTGTCTTCCAGGATGGCCTGTACGCTAGTTACGAGACATTGCAAGTAAGACACCTTGATTGCATCATAGAGACAGTGGACAAAATACTGGGTCAGGTAAGAAATGAATGTTGAATCCCTCCTTTGTCAAGTTGGCTCGTAAGAATAGGAAAAAAGGCTTGCAAAACTGGAAAGCTGCTATGGCTTCAGTTACTCTCTCAGCCCACATCTAAGAAGCATTACATTCAAAAGCAAGGGATATATTTGATGGGGAAACATTCAAGACTCTTCCTTGTTGAAAATGCCTTGTCTCCTAGACGTCTTGCTGCCTCTGGCTGGTCATCCAGCAGTTACTGCAAGGCTGAGGTCTGTCACCTGTAACAAACTCTTCAAGACGGGGAAGTGGGGCTAAAATGCTTTCTCTTGCTGTGCAGGGTTAAATTCGGATGCCTGCTCTTTCACTTCTGTGCTATCAGGGAAATCTTAGTTTGTCTTGCCATGTCCTGTCTGGCCACTGCATGTTCACAGGCCTGTCCTCCATGCCTCCTTGGGCAGTCATGTTTACTTGATAGCTGTCTGGTCCGGGGCGGATCAAATGCTCTTTTCTGCCTCATTTGTACTCTAGGAGAAGTTCAGGCGCTGGTGCTTATGCAGCTGAGAGTTTCAGTAAAACTTTTCCTTATCAGAGAAAGACTCACACTCTTCACTGTAACCTCCTGGCTTACCTGCCTAATTTGCATACCATGAATTCCTTTACTTTCCAAAAGGGCAGTAGGACCTTCCATGATGATTTGCATAATTTCTTCCCTTCTTTAGAAACTGTATTACCAAAACACCCTGGAAGATTACGGGGCCATCTATGAACCTTGCAGATACGCTGAGGAAGGAGAACTAGAGCAAAGTAACTCCACCTGCTCTGCCTCCATTGGCAGTGAGGAGCTGCCTGTTGATTTTTTGAACACTCTGGGACCAAAGTTTTCTGCTCTGGAAGAAATCTGTCAGAAGTAATTTCCATCATTCAATTAATTTCAAAAGGCTGTGACTACTTTATGGTGTTGCAAAGGTTTCTGGCAGAAGCACTGACAAATTCTGAAAAAAAGAACTGTCTGTGGCAGAAAGCTTTGCGGTATGTTTGCACCATGAGTACCTGGCCATTTATTCTTCCTGCCTACACTGTTCGCATGCCTGTGGCCAAGAATGTGACCTATCTAGAAGGTCCACGCTGCTCTGCAGAGATGATGAAGTGATTTTGGCATATTCTGTGCAGACTTACACAAATAGGAGATCTGATATTAAGCATCCTCAATTTAGTATGCAAAGGAAAAAAACAGATCTACTAGGCTAGAAATTCCAGTCAAAGTTCCGTATGAAAATAAGCCAGTATTGAACAGAGAAGGCAATTACCAGCTAGGCCAGCGATACAGTCCTTTCTCCAGTAAGAAGTCTCTTTAAATCCAAGATTAACTTTAGTGCAGTGCCATGCGGATCTGACTTGATGTTCAAATCTTTTATTTCTATATGACACTGAAACATCAAAGAGAAAGTGCACTTCTACTCTTAGTGTGACTGTAACCGCATAATGACCTGAGAGGTCTGCACCGTCCTTGCCTTTTAGCTTAAAACAGGCGCTTATTTATGTTTGCATGCTTATGCTGGCATCTGGTGGCCCTTAGTATTATTACAATATCATAAATACTCCAAATGCTAAGAAATTGTTGACGGAGGACAAGGTATGGTTATTCCTTTCATTCAAATAACTACCTTCTCTAAATTAGCTACAAGTGACTGTGGTGAAGAAATTCATGGGTTTCCTCAAGCACCACTGATAAAACAGATGACATGATACAGAAAGGATGGTATCAAGTTTCTCTGTATGGAAACCACAGATGTGTTACTTCCAAATTTTGTGATCTGTGCATGTCTGAATGTGTGCAATTGACCTATGCTCAGTTATAGCATGGTGGCTATAGGTGTTTTAATACATGAATGAGGAAAGAATAGCTCAGAAGATAGTATTCTGCCATTAGGTAAGTTATACAGGCAGTAAGAGATGGAATTAGTCACGATTCTTACTTCCGCTCTATTACAATTCTGTGCTAAAAGAAAAACGCTTTGCCTAAGGCAAGCACTAAGTCTGGTATCTAAGGCACTGTTCTTCTGTTTGAAAGTTTACATAAACAATAAATTATGCTTTTGCTCAGATGTTATTAACTAATAATTCAAGGCTGGAAACTTCAGTCAAGTGTGATAAAAGAATTTGGCTGCGTGGCAGGCAGCTAAGTTTTCCTAAATGCCAGCAGCAGGATCTATTTACACAATAAATCACTACTCTGATAAACTGTCCTTAACTTATAATTCCAGATAGAAGACTTCAAATCATGCCAGTGATTTAGCAGCACTGCTAATGACCAAGATTACTTTTTTATTGCAAATTATAACCATATTGGTAAGATTAGAACTGTGCTGTGTTTTCCTACTTCCTCTGAAAATTATGCAAGATTAAAAATAACAATGAAAGTATTCTGTGTGTTTATTGTTTGTGTAAATTTGTGATGGGTCTACAGGACACCATGCTTACAAATACCAAAACATTAGATGTGATCAGACTCACAGTTGCTACTGTCAGAAAAAGCTCTCTCTCTCTTGCGTGGAAAAAAAAGAAATGTTTTAATGAAAAGCATTGCATAGCAAATGAGAACGTTCCCTGGAGGTTCTTACAATCACATACGATGTGCCCATACAGGTAGTAACATTCATTATTTCAGTGTCTTCAAGGATTTAGGAGACTTATACACACTAAGCTAATACAGCTTCCCAGCATCATTGTGAGGTAAAGATGTAGTGTTTACACTTTAAAGAGCAGAAATTAAGGCTGAAAGAGCTCCTTGGTTGACCACAGTCACACAGAGCTTGCAGCAAACTAAGGAACGGCACTTACCCATTGTGCTCCATGTATACCTTGCCTTTCACCAATAATGTTGACCTTTGCAGCAGCTTTTTACACCATTCTTTTTGACCAGACCTGAGGAATATGCACTCTGCTACGGTCATATCAGAACAGTACAAAATACAGTCTTGGAGCAAACAGTGATGGAAGTAACAAATAATTAAAACTTTCATTTTACAGACAAGGGACCGATGCACAGAAGTCGTAAGTCAGCTCCCATAGTCAAAAAGAGACTTGCAGAATGGATCTAGATTTTCAGAATGCCCTTTTGGCACTGTAATCATTGAAGTATCATTATATTCATAATTCCTGTCAAGGCCTGTCATTTATGCAATTACCTGGATAAAAAATATTCCTCCTTTTTCTCACTACGGATTTGCAATCACAAATTTGGTGATGTGACACTTGAACTCCCGTTAATGATCACATTGTTTGTTGGTCTTTTTATCTAACTATGGTAGCTGTATATACCATGTAAGTGCATAATGAGGTGTTCAGTTCATTTGAATTATTGTTCTAATATTTTAAATATCACTATGTGCCTTTTAATAGGAATGAGTACTTTTATGTAGGAATGACAAAGCATGCTACAAACACCTAAATAACCATGCAAACTGCTGAAAACTATTAT